GTACTGAGATGTTTAAGTAGCCTTTAGCTAGCAGAACCTCAAATTAGCACCAAAAATAGGTTAAAATGCCTCTTTATGTTTAATCCTAACCAAATTTTTAGCTTTCTTAGTCAAATTTGACTGTTTCAAACCCTTTCTGTGCATTTACACATTTACATTTTTGTTTTAATTTAATACATTACTGGTCTTCATGTAGACTGTGAACCAAACAGAGTACTGAGATGTTTAAGTAGCCTTTAGCTAGCAGAATCTCAAATTAGGACCAAAAATAGGTTAAAATGCCTCTTTATGTTTAATCATAAAAAAAAAATTGTGTTTTTTTTAGTCAAATTTGACTGTTTTAATCCCTTTCTGTACATTTACACATTTACATTTTTGTTTTAATTTAATACATTACTGGTCTTCATGTAGACTGTAAACCAAGCAGAGTACTGAGAGGTTTAAGTAGCCTTTAGCTAGCAGAACCTCAAATTAGGACCAAAAATAGTTTAAAATGCCTTTTTATGTTTAATCATAACCAGAAATTTTTGCTTTTTTAGTCAAATTTGACTGTTTTAATCCCTTTCTGTACATTTACACGTATAAAATTTTGTTTTAATTCATATTAATACATTTATTAATCTATAATAATGCCTTTGTAAAGCCTTTTAATCTCCGTTTGAAATGTGTTAAACAGATAAACCCGCTTTGCCACCATATTCTAAACTGGAAAACTACTCCAAACTATTCCAGAAGGACCCCAATAACCAAATATCCTGCAGTTCTCATGGGTAGTCATTTTGGGAATCATGTAAACCAGCTGTTAGTTTTTTCAAAGAGACTTTCCCGCCCATCATTAGCTCAAACTACTAAACCAAAAAGCACGCCGGGCTCTTCTGCCACTGCTTTTGTCCCCATTGTCCACAGATAAAGCGGCTCTGTAATGAATTACAAATTTCCCTTGAACCCTTTTTGACTGAATGCCCACTGGAGAATCATTAAATCATTTCTCTTTTCACACCACAATCTCCTTTTTGGATCTCGCTGGCTTGCAAAACCTTGACAGATGTTCTGTGGTTCCCATCTAAATGTCGAGGTTTCAAACCTTTAGAAAAACAAGCCATCATGGAGACGCTCGCGTTGTGTGATCTCATTTTCTTTTGACACCAACCAAACGGCACACTGAGCAGTAGATTAGTAGATTTTTATCTCTTTGTGATTAATCCTCGATGTACTTCAGTGAGCAGTGGCTCCTCAACATGAGTGGTTCTCAGGTAGAAAGAAATACTATGTGATGTGGCCATGTATCATTATTATTTTTTTAGATATCCAAAGCATCCCTGGGTGTATTCAAGTGTGAACAGAACTTATTTCACATCAACTCATGTTTGCATTTAATAGAATATGTTTGATTTTCAGCTCCTGTTATTAGTCTACAAAGGCATATGCAGAAAAACTGGCATTTTTATTCCAAAGGTCAATACCAAAACCTTAAAATCACTTAAAACAAAGTGAATAACACCAACTAAAAAAGCCATTTCGACCACAAACCCCAGAATTTATGAATGAGTGCATGTTTTTACAGTATTTTCTCACATATTTAATCATTTTCCTGTCATTTCCTGGTTGTGTTTTTTGCTACCAGCAACAATTCCTATCACTATATTACCCCCCTTTTATAGATACCCTACTCCAATCACAACAATGTACAAAAGATGTGATTTTTTTGGATTTACATGCACATTTTTTGTAAAGTTTTTATTGCTCAACCACGACCACAGATTAAATAAAAACTACGAAACAAGTATAAACATTTAAACTGTCACTTCTGTGAGAAATGAACAAGCGAGCAAAGAGTTCAGAGCAAAAAACTCCCGTGCTCATCACATCCACACGACACATTTTCCTCCTGTCTCATTTAGTTTGGTTTAAAGTTGCGCACAAAAGCCACCACGACAATTAATCACACAACGCAAT